AGCTGTGTTCTAGATAAATATGATGGATCTGCCTCCCAAATCTGGTGCAAAAAAGCTATTTTGTAATATTTCTTGGTCTTAAAACAATGGTGGAATTTTCTATAAACTCGATAAATTGATCCTTAGCAAGCCAGATGTCATTCTTTTAAATGCTCCCCTCCCCCTTTCTAAGGAAAGGAAGATATTTGTCTAATCTAAACAATTTTGAAAGACAGACATTGGTGATGCTTATGTGAGCCACAGATTCCAGAGAAAGACAAAGGCAGCAGAGGGAGAGGGGAACACGAGCACTTTGGCTCCTTAAAGAAACACTAAACCACTTAGACTACACATCTATTAAAGCCAGCAAGCTGCAGCGGCAGGATGCTTAAATCAAAGTGTGAAAATCCATTATTCATGCTCGCCATTCTAAACGTCTGCTTTGGGTACCATTTTCAAATACGATGACGCACAACACAACACCGGTGCCGTTCCTCAATGCTTGTGCGAGCGTGCTCCGACCTGAGTGGCTACATGCCTGCTTATTCTTGGAAAGAGGTCAACTTCATCTGCAGACTGTGTACAAGTTTGTCATACACCTACTTGGCTAACCTGCATGTCTGAGTCTGCTGACTTTGAAAACAGAAGACAAAGCTACTGACGCAGATCCTTTTAACCTTTTCGAGAGGTCAGAGTCTTTCCCCCATGCCATTTCTATATCTACTCAGACATTAAAAAAGAAAGTTTGAATGTGTTCTGTAGTCTGTTACCGTGTCTGTTTACCTAAGTGCCTTGATTCAAATGTACCAGGTAATGCACTGTGCTATTTTTACTCAGTTTATGAAGCTCCACAACAATTTCCAGCTTTGCAAGGATTTCCTGGCTGCAGTTTGTGAGCACAGATGGAGAGTGTTACATGTGCACTTCTCACCATCAGCAAGGTGATACTTATTTATCCGTTTTTGTTTCTCCTACATCAGTTTGTTACATTTTTAGAAACTGAAAACCTGTGAAAGCGTACTGTTCTATATTCTCACTGCTTTCCTTTCTCCATCTCTACTGCTGGTTCACTGTTTTTTGTTTTGTTTTTTTTCACGCTTGTTTTAGCAAAGTGCAATCATCACATGCGTATCTATAAATTCTCTGCAGGTGCAGAGCAATTATCTGCACCAAAGCAGCAAAAACACAGAGACATTGCTGCTGACTCTTTCACAATTCTTCTTTAATTCTACATGCAGCTGTACACTGTATGCTGCGCCTGTCTTTTTATCACAATACTGCAGCTATTCATCTGTTAAGAAACAGTATTAAAATATGCAGTAGTTTTAGTTTTACTTATGTATGTAAAACATAAGCTGATGTGGCCTATTTCTTTGTGGATTATACTTTTAAAGCCTTTTACTCTTCACATTGGTTTTAGGAGCCAGAAGTTGCCATATTTGGATGTGAGTGTGCAAGGCTAAGCTCTCAGCTAATGTTAGCAAATTTGTTTAGCATTGAAAGAAGAAAACAAGCTAGGTATACAGCTAGGGACTAAAGGCGCTTGTCCTTGTGTCAGTACCATAATAGCATCCACTTTTTTACTCACTCCATATTTCAAGCTGAAGGTGTTAGTATTTGGTCAGTGCAATGTAGTTTTGTTTTTTTTTGTATAGTCAAAGATATCATATTTAGAACAGCGCTTGGAGTGATAAGCTATCAGCTATCAGGCTAATTTAACAAGTGCACAGAGACACATATTTGCAAATTATAGCAAAGTAACAGTACATGAAATAAACAGCTCCACACACTGCAGAACTCACATTTCCTTATTTATTGCCTCTAGTAGTGTATGATGTTCAAGCACATCGTGTACAAATCGTTTAACCTTTTCTATATTAAAAAATAATCACCCCAACCTCATACGGTCCCCTGAATGCTGGAGATGTCAGACTGGGGTAGGCACATTGACCCATATGATTTGGAGCTGTCCTAAAACCCAAATCTTTTGGACTGAGATACATGACTTTATCAAATCAACCATACGATGGGATATTCCTTTTTCACCAAGGCTATTTGTTTTGGGGGACCCATCACTCCTTAAATATGCTCCGCCTAAGGCTGCTGAGTGGGTTCAGACTGCATTGATGCTGGGGCGTAAACTCATTATCTCCCAGTGGAAGGCTCCTTCCACCCCACCTGTCTCTGTATGGCATATTCAACTAGGGAGACTCGCTGCACTAGAACAACTCTCATACAGGCTCCTGAATAAAGTGGAGAGTTTCCATCTGAAGTGGGATCCATATCTGTCCAGAATAAAACGAACAGACCAGAACTTAGAGTGGGATAGACATTGGAATTTTGACGAAGCACTCTCAGGGATGTCAGAGTGTGGTGTGCAGTAAGACCCATATAGTCAAAGGCTGGCTGTTTTGGTTTGTTTTTTTGTTTTTTTTGTTGTTGTTTTTTCCTATTGTTTATCTCTTGCTTTGTTTGCCCCCCTCATTTTGGTTTGGTATTCTCTACTGTTCTGCTGCTATGCTGATGTTTTCTTTATGTGATGTAATCTGTCTCTGCAGTGGACTGTAGTGTTCTAAAAGTACAATAAAATATTAATCACAAAAAAAAAAAATCACCCCCACACAGCTGTTAGAGGGGCTGAAATTAACTTTTAAGAAAGCAAGTGCTATTTTTACCTGCCTGTAAAAATGTTTTTTTATGCTAAAAGTAGAAAATGATTCCATTTTCTACTTTTGGAGCATCCTCTAGTGGCCATTGGAGGAAGTGACGCTGTTTGGACTTCTGCAAGCTTCTCTTTTCAGCCCCAAACTTTAGGCTTGTCCTATTCTATTCTTTGACTTAAAGCAAGGAAAAGTTATTTCAGAAGGACACACATAATCAAGATATCAGTTTGCAATTTAATCACCGATCACATTTCACAGATCAAGCCTCTTAGCCACTACATACTGCCACTAATAGAGTTATGAAGTCAGAGTATTACCTGTCTGTGCTTGAGCTTTCTTTTTCTTGGTCTTGCTCTCTTCCATTGGAAAGAACACGCCTTCCACACTTAGTGCCACCGCACGTCCGTCAGCTAGAGGGATTATGGGTAGCTCTCTGAGCGTCTGCAGGATGGAATCTGCCTCTCCGTATCCATGCTCCAGAGCTCGGAAGTTACAAACCAGAAGCCTGGCCAGCTGATGTAGACCTGCATCTGAAACACAATTCAATTCAATTTTATTTATATAGCACCAAATCACAACAAAAGTCACCTCAAGGCGCTTCATAGATACAGAGAAAAACCCAACAATCATATGACACAGTCTGGTGTTCAGATTTGCCATTACATAGGCAGAGAAAACATCAGTTTGTTTCTACTGAATGAAAAAGAAATCAAATGGAATATTTTAAAGTTTAGCCATTTATTATAATGACAATATAACTACGCAGCATCATATTGCCCTCACTGTGAGATGCCAGGGTTGCTCTGCACACACCTGAATGGATACCTCCCACTGTCATCAGCTCCTTGGCCATGGCTGTGGTTACTATGGTAACATCCGTTCCCCGCAGGTATCGGACTCCCAGGTGAGTGAGCAGGGAGGTGGGCGGTGCTGGGCTTAGATCCGGATGCAGATAGGACAGAGACAGATGCTTTTCCAGCTCACCTCCACCGATCACTTCCCGTATCACAGGGTCCTGACAGACGGCCACCTGGGAGGGCAGCTTGTACACAATCTTACCATCTGAGAGAGAAAGCAGAGGAATGTTTACAGTGTTACAGTGAAGAAATAATCTTTCATATTTCTTTGACATGCTCCTGTTTATGCTCGGGTCTAACCCCAGCTCAACCTGTTTGGTTTTTCATTTTTACCTTTACCTGAGCTGGTTAAACTTGTAGTTGACTCAATGGAAATATCCTCTGGCTCACTCAACATTTTACCTGCATTTTTGTTAAAAACAGGTTTACCCATGTCTGTGTCTCTGTATGCGAACTGTAATCAGTGCTTCACTGGTCTCTAGTCAAGTCCTTGCTTATTCTAAGAATGCTGTCATCTTCCACTTTAAAAAAAAGCACTTACGCATTAATCTCCAGTTTATTATTTCTTGCAAATATTTAATAAAAGCTTGTAGCTAACCAGCTGACAGATGTTCTGGATAAATGCAGTATTGGGGTGATCCAGTCTGGCTTTTGCATTGCTCATCTTACTAAAACAGCTCCTCTTTAGAGTGACACTTTGACCTAAACTCGTAAAAAAATAAATTCTGACCACCAGGTTTTGTCGATAGCCTGAGATACTGGGTTCGGGCTGGTATCGGGCTCCGCTTTGGTTGATTGATTCTCCTCATATCTGCCTGAATGATCCTTTTCTGTGTCCTGTTCCACTTCTCTTGCCTACAGTGTGCCGCAGGGTTGCATTTTGGGGGCCTTATTGTTTATGTTAGATCTGCTCCCTCTTTAGGACACTCTGAGGTTATTTCTTGTTCCTTTTGACTCAGCTTTAACTTTAAATGAAGTGAAATCTTTGATTCACTTGAGCTTTTTTCATTCAAGAAATATTCCCAAATTGAGTTAATCTGTATCACACTCTGCATTAGAAATTGCTGGTCTTGCTTTCATTTTTAACATCTAGTTTTAGTTTTTAGTTTAGTTTTATAATACCTGAACTGAGAGTAGGCAGGAAGGATTTGCCCTTGAGCAGCTGAATAATCTGCCCGGCAACAGGCTTGAAGAAATCCAAAACCTCGTCAGACAGGGGGATAAACTGAAGGAACTGGCACAGGCCCTTCAGTCCCGTGAACTCTGGGTGATTCTGGAACAACGAGAGGAAGGAATATGACATAAAAGAAAAAGCTCTCTTCAGATGGAGACACAACCAAGATCTAATATTAGCCTAGCTTAGTTACCTCAGCTACAAAAAGAACCAAGCCTTTATTGGAAATAGACAGACCTGTAATTTCCTGGTACATACCAAATCTGCATATTATCAGATTTCATAAACTTCATTGCTTCATGTGCTCAGAATTTATTTTACACAGTAATGTATCAAATATGCAGTTTTAACGCTCTCTTCTAATAGAATGATTTAATGTATCTGCTAATAATTTCTGGTTAGTATGACTGAGCAAATGTTCAAATTTTATCCTCCTGCCCAGATATGTCACAGTAAACGATCCTTAAATCATATTTTCTAAATCAACTTGCATATTAGTTTCTAATGATCTCATACTGCAACATAATGTGCATTTCATACACATGTATCATATAACATTGTACTTTCTTGGTTATTTTTCTCTATTTCTGCAGCTATGTCTTACAGTGAAGACATCCATGGCCTGGAGGAAGAGCTGTGCTATTTCAGACCGGAGCCACTGGTTCCAGGAGCTGTCTCTGTCAACATCATCACGAGAAGAAGGGATGTCAAAATCACCTGAACAAGAAACAAACATCAGTTATTGACTGCACTTGTTCTTCACCCAACGGCGCCGTGAATAAACTGCTCTCGTCTCCAGTCTCACCTTGGATGATAAAACGGAAGCCGAAACTGCGAAGGGGCAGGTAAGCAAACACGGGCTGCTTCTGAGGCTGGCACACAACGTTACTTCCCGTGGAGTCGCTGCCAAGCTGGAAAGCCAGAGCGAGCTCGGTCGACTCTACATCCTCTTTGATCTGAAGGAGGCACAAATCAATGTCACAACAGAGCCGACAACTTGCTAACAGGCTGACTTCTTGCACAAATGGGTTTGCAAAAAGTGAGGCCACTGGAAAAAAGAGAAGAAAATCAAGAGCACAGCGTGTCTCAAATAGCCTCTGTCACTCAGCTTTGCTCATTCTCTTACATAACCTAACTGCAGGTAACAGGACGCTGCCTCTGGGAAATAAAAGAAGGAAAACAGCTGAAGGAGTAAGAGAAGGTATTACTAAACCCTTTCAGCCTGACAGATCATTAAAATCAGCTCGGTGGTGTTTATCTGCCCGCGTGAATCCAGTGAATAAGTGTTCATAAAGTCTGATGGAAACCCGAGAAAAGACATTTGAGGAGCAGAACACTCATATTTACAGGAGTACATCAGAGAAATGCAAATCCACAGCAGATTTTATTTATGCCCCAGGAGGGATGGAATATAGGAACAGATGGTTAGTCGTTGTTCTGAAATCCAAATATGATATGTGCGCCTGAAAAGGGTGAGTTGTGGGAGTTAGCTCGTGTGCATCACCTTCTTGGGCTTCAGTGTGGTTTTGACCACTAGCCAGCGCTCGGTACCCTCCGAGTGTTCCACCTCGAGCACATTGTGATTGAGATCTTTACGAGTCATCGTCATGAAACGCTTCTCACTCTGCACACAGACACAATAAATACAGTAGCAACAAGGTATTTTATTCCTAATCCATTTAGGTGGGTTTATGTGCAAAAACACACATGTGCAAGCGCTTACCTGATTGTAGATGGTGATGGAGCGTAGTCGATGCAGGAAGAGCAGCAGCGACGGGTGCACGTCATGAAACAGGTTCCTGGTCTGATGGCTCTCAGTCCGGAGAGGGAGGCTGATCTTAGTGGTCCAGCTGAAAAAGAAGAAGACAAAAAATTAGACCATGGGTCTAATATGAGCAGCAGACGGCTAATAACGTTAAACAGATGTTTTGGCTTCCCCATAACCAAACTAAATTACCCGTATTATAACAATAAACAAGGAATTCAACTACACTGTTCCAAAAAATAGTAATGTCAAATTATTTTACTGTGTATTTCTAGAATATCATTACATTTACATAAGTAGACTGTGATCTGACACGTTACATGTAAAA